ATAGTTAAATCACGGCATATCAAAAACTATATTTTACCAACAATCCTGTTATATGTAATATATTATTGTTTTGCATGTTTCAAGTTAACTGAACATTATGTAAGATTTAGATAAAGAGCCAGCCATTCTTGCTATAATAGTTCGAAATAGTATTATTATAAACCATAAAGATATATTATGTAAGATTTAGATAAAGAGCTAGCCATTCTTGTTATAATAGTTCGAAAATAGATCATGTAAAATGAATAATTTGAAAATTTCATTCAAATTACTCTATTGCGACCGAAGATATTAGCCTTTGAAGGTTTGACAAGACGTGTGCAATAATTTCAACCACCGTACTGGTTGTTCAAAGCTAAGTTTTGCTCCTCCATTTTTAGATTAAATCAAAATATGGCTGAACTGTTCTAATCTATTTAATATTGGAGAAGTCTGATGCCATCAAGAGTTGATTATGGCTTGGATCAGTTAATTAATGTCTAATTAATAGTTTAGATAACATTTCAGACCAGAAAAAGACCTGCAATAGGCAGATTTAGCTCTTGCATAATGTATGTTTAACTGAACCTATTCAAAACCTCCATCTTTCATAAAATATTCATTAAAAAATAATCTTTCATACTTTTACAAAAAATAAATCATTTAAAATAAAAACAAAAAAACTTGAAAAAGAATAGTTGTAGGAATAAATTCTCAATTTTATCGGACTCCATAAAATCTGCAGGAAGTCATATTGATAAAAATTACAAGTCACAGTTACAATAAATAAAAAACCTGTTTTCGAACCCACTACTTTTAATCATAATGTTATATTCCCCGATGGCATTATTGTAAATGTTAATTGAGACATTACGCGGTCGTAGTTTTCGTGTAGAATTACGGCTGTATAGTTCGCAGATTTAATTATTAGATAATGAGTAATCAAGACCCGATTATAACTAGCTAGTCGGTCGTGAAGTATTGTACAGCTAAAAGTTAAATCGTGTCTCTTCTAATAAAACAATAGTTTTACAACTGAATAGACGCTTTTCTTTTAATACAATAAAAAGTAGGATTGAATAAGAGAAAGAAATGCAGATTGTGTTGAATGTTTTACTAGAAATCAAAATGAACATTTATTCAACAAAAAGAGAGAATGATACTCGTTTAATTTCCAACCACAGAACAAGTCACATGACTGACTGATTTATAATATATTATATTAAAGTGGCTGTTTAATTGATGAGAGTGAGAGAGAGAGAGAGAGAGAGAGAGAGAGAGAGAGAGAGTGTCTACAATCCACTGACAATAACCTAGTCATTATGAGACTGGCATTACATATTTATAGTCAATAATTTTCTGGCGTGGATGTAAAAACGCAGGCAGGCTACCCTTTTCCTTGTCCTGTACAGACCAAGGTTTAAATCTACGACTTCATATATAGATAACATTTCTTATGAACACTCAATTTGTTTGGGGTCTTCATTAGCCCAGAAGGAGCAGAACAGTAGGATGTTAAACCCCATTTCATTTCATCTCTCAAATCGTTTGGATCTGAAATTATGTATGAACACTTAATGTTCACAAATATATTTGGATATTGACATTTTAGACTTTGTTACTTGATGTCAATTAAACCTTGTGGAATTTGATGAGTGTTTTGTCTAATATCGGGGGAATTTATTAATATTAGTTCAGTGAATTCAAATGATATTCAAAAATAAATCAAATAAAAAAGAAAATATATTATTACAAAGATCCACTTTTTAAAAAAAAATAAAATCTGAAAATGCATTAAAAACAATCCAAAAACCAAACGTTTGAGTTGAAATAACTATTCAAATAGCATTTGAATAATGACAGAGCATTGGAATAGTAAATTTGGCATTTGATATGAAACTATGAAGGTTCCTTCATTTTCTATACTTGACTTAAAGCCTCATAGCATCACATGCATTTTTCGGAAAATATTAACATTTTCCATGGCTTAATCCACATTAAAACGTATTTGAAATGATCACAGTCTCTGATTGACGTTTGAGGGATTGCGGAATCGCTTGTAAATTATGAAACTATGAAGGTTCCTTCATTTTCTATACTTGACTTAAAGCCTCATAGCATCACATGCATTTTTCGGAAAATATTAACATTTTCCATGGCTTAATCCACATTAAAACGTATTTGAAATGATCACAGTCTCTGATTGACGTTTGAGGGATTGCGGAATCGCTTGTAAATTACATTATTGTTTAAATTCTTTCAATGGCATTTAGTAATTGAACAGGAATTAACAGGTCACAATTCTATGGAATACAATTACTGCTTATTACTGAGCGACGTTTCGACTAGGCTTCTCTAGTCATTATCAAGCAATGATAAAATATGAAAATATAACAAGACAGTTTATATACATGTACACAACAATACTTGGTTAATGTTTGACCAACCAGAGAAATGTACATATCAATCTCACTTTCTTAATGTGATGCAGGGATGCCGATAAGATAAGGGTATCTCTGGTTGGTCAAGCATTAACCAAGTATTGTTGTGTACATATTTTTATTGTCTTGTTATATGTTCATATCTTATCATTGCTTGATATATATTAGAGAAGCCTAGTCAAAACATGGCTCTGTCATAAACAGTATTGAGTAATCATATTCCATAGATTGGCGACCTGTGTATATATATATAATATTCTTACACTTAAAATCAGTAATAAGACAACATATTTTATCATTGCTTGATAATGACTAAGACAAACCTAGTTAAAACTTTGTTCAGTAATAAACCGTAATTGTATTCCATAGAACTGTGACCTGTACACTATTGTTTAAGTTTAATTTCTCAAAGGAATATCAGACCAAAGATTGTTCAATCCCTTTCAATATCTCAACATGTATAATGATATAATAAATTGAAAATTTGTCAACACTCGGCAGACAATATAATTTATGAACAGGAAGCCATCAATCATAATCAATGTCACAGATAATTTCCGCAAAAATCATTTCGAGGGTCTCTTTTTAATTCGGCTGATTCGAAGCTGGGGGATTATTGATAGTTGGTTTTGTTTTCTTAATTAAATCAGGAAAAATGGAGGGGGTTAGCAACACTCCCTTAAAAGAGTAGCATAGGCTGGATAGGCCGGTAGTTCTGTGTATCTACTGTATCAAACAATGATGTCAAGGGGGAGAGAGTAGACAAAAATAAAAATATAAAAATCTATGCTCAACAGCAGTACAAACAGATTTTAAGTTGAAATAAGAAGTGGCTAATTAAATGTTTAATTTCAGTACAATTTAGCATGAATTAAAGATACATTATGGGAGATTAGATAAAGAGCTGGTAGTTCTCACTATAATAGTTAAAAACTAGATAATGTAAAGGGAATTTGCTGAAAATTTCAGTCAATTGATCCACCCTGAACTGAGAATTTAGTGATTGAATTTTGGGTCTAGCCTCGATCATCATTACTAAAGTTGGTACGATAAAAAACATAGTCTCAATTATCTATTTTTTTATTTAATCAGAAGCAGCAGACCGGGTTCTAATCCAGTAAATATTACAGGCTAGCGATGACATTGGGAGTTGATTATGGTCTGGATAAGTTAATTAATGTCTAATTAATAATTTAGATAACATTTGAGGCCTAAAGAAAGACCTGCAACTGGCAGATTTAGCTCTTGCATAATGTATGTTTAAGGAGGAAAAAATAGTGTGCAATAAACAGCTTTTAACTGTAAGAAAATATATCTTTAAACAACAGAAGAAAAAGCTATATTAATATTAAAATCTGAGTTCTGTTAGTCGAGAAAATAACCCAGTTTAACACAGAGGACAACATCAATCAATAATGTGTATTCTGGTTAGATTACATGAAATAGATTTTTTTACGAATAATGTTATTATTGCGTTTTTATATTATAGTTGTTAAGTGTGTTAAGATATATTGATAAATTCAGTAAATGAAATGAAATTGGGTTTAACGTTTTACTGTTATACACCAACAAGGTTCATCAGGATGAGCATACGCCATACAGTATGCTGTGAGGAAAATTTTGTCATGATAGTACCCCACAGCCTACTCTCATTTCGAATTACAGCTGTCAGGGGATTCGACTGCCTCCGAAAAGGGTTCTACTACATGTACTCAATGTACAAGGGCCATTGATTTTCCATCCCATCTGAATGACTAGACTCAGTTTCTTACCACAGCCTTCATCTTACACCACTAAGAAGGGGAAACCACCTCCAGCGTCTTTTCTCACTAGCCACCACGGCTCCCAAGTGAACAATAAGATAATTCACAAGACAGAATATTTTATAGAATGCTAAACATCCTGACAAATATATCTTATTGGATATCGAAATGAAAAGAAATAAGGTTTAACATCCTACTGTTCTGCACCAACTGGGCTAATGAAGACGCGGTATTTGATCTGTTAAAAGACAGTAATTTATAACTACCTGTGACAAGTTAACAAAGCGTAGGTTTATGATGATCTAACAAGGTAACGAAACTGATTACGATGTATTAGGAATAAATTAATAAAATTAGGTTTAACATCTATTTTTCTGCTCCAACTGGGCTGATTAAGACAGGCTTACTCCGTGTCATGTGCTATGAGGAAAATTTTACCTGGACAGCAATTGAATTCCAACTGTCAATGGTTCTTTTACGTGCATGGCCAGGTGTATATAAGGTTACAAAGTTTGGTGTTATTCATAATGATGTTCAACCTACCTGTTTAACTGTACCTGTACAGCCAGGTGTATATAAGGTTTGGTGTTATTTATAATGATGTTCAACCTACCTGTTTAACTGTACCTGTACGGCCAGGTGTATAAGATTTGGTGTTATTTATAATGATGTTCAACCTACCTGTTTAACTGTACCTGTACGGCCAGGTATATAAGGTTTGGTGTTATTTATAATGATGTTCAACCTACCTGTTTAACTGTACCTGTATAGCCAGGTATATAAGGTTTGGTGTTATTTGTAATGATGTTTAACCTACCTGTTTAACTGTAGAACTACGCAGTATAAACTGACCATATTTCTTTAATAATGTATCTCCACTCACAGTACTATAATAGAAATAATAATGTATGAACAATGTACAAAATGAGAGAGAGCTATGGACTTTAAATAAATTTTACATACAATTTAATTTAAACACCCATTATTTTATATACAATTTAATTTGAACACCCATAATAATTTTACATACTCCTTGTCACTACAACCGGGAAATCGAAATAAATGAAATGAAATGAAATGGGGTTTAATGTCCTACTGTTCTGCTTCTAACCTGGGCTAATGAAGACGAGCATACGCCATACAGTGTGCTATGAGGGAAATTTTGCCCGGGCAGCGGCGCCTACTCCTATATCAAATTCCAACTGCCAAGGGATCTTTTACGTGCATGCCAATGTGTACACGGGACCTCAGTTTTTCGTCCCATCCGAACGACGAGACAGCTGTCCTTGTAAGGCCCTCCATCCTGCATCACTGACAAGGGGGGACCACGCCGGAAAATCTGGATGAACTTTCTCGGCCAATGCAGGGATCGAACACCCAATCTCCAGGCTAGCGAGCCAGCGTCTTATCCACTTAGCCACATGATCCCCGGGAAATCAAAGCTACGCCAGTTGACTCAGTGACAGACCCTATGATACAACACACGCAAGCGCTAACCATTCACCCATCAACCCACCTTGTACAAAATGAAATGGGTTTTAACATACTAAATTTCAGCAACGACTGTTCTACTACTGAAGATAAGCATACGCATGCAGTGTGCTATGAGAGAAAATTTGCACGGACAGCAAAACTACAGCTTACTCTTGTCAAGGGGTGTTTTACATGCATATGGGACCTTGGTCTTTTATCCCATCTGGACGACTAGACACCTTTCCTTGCCAGGATCTATATTTATCATGCAACAGTGAGATCCTCAGAATTTGTTGGTTCCGGTTTCCCCGTGTCAGTGGTGCAGGCCGGAGGGCCTGGCAAGGACAGTAAACTATTCATTCGGATGGGTCACAATAAAAAAGAGGTCCCAAGTACACATTGGCATGCAGGTAGGAGATCTCATCTGTTGACAGTTGTAATTCAAATCAAAAGAGAGAGAGAGAGAGAGAAAGAGAGAGCGGGTAAACTAGGCTATTTCGGGACTAACTCATGGTTCAATTTTTTTATTTCAATAATTCGCTCGCGGGTAGGGGTCTTTAGCAGTAGGGGGAAACCGGAGGATCCAGAGAAAACACACGTGGTTGGACAGGCGATCCGACTCCTTGTCGCATACAACCAGGGAATCGAAGCACTACCAGTTAACTCAATGACCGTATGATACAGCACGCACATGCTAACCATTCGGCCATCCAAACCCCCTCGAATCAAGAGTAGGTCATAGTGCATCTGTCCGGGCAACAGGAATCCATGCCAGAAAATCTTAAATAGTCGATTTATTTGACACCATATATGTATTGAAATTATGACCAATTACTGTATTTAGAATGATTATACATCAGATTAACGTATAAAACCAGTTTATGTGCTGTAAACCTTTTTATGTTATTTTAAAGAGAGATCAAAGTGGATGTTGGGGTTTAAATCTTTCAAGATATAATCTGTGTAGTTGTATAATGTGTAGCCTGGAGAAATAGTATTTATATCTTTATTTTAAATCTGTTCATGGTTCATTGAACACAAATACAACAACAAAACACCATAATCTCGTTTCATCTTGAATTATAATTACCGTATAAATGTTAGGATTTTTTTTATACGGTAAACTCATGTCGCCCACATGGTGATTGACAGTACAAATGTGACAGGCCCTTGCCAGTCCCTTCATCCTGCACCACTGTAATGCTGTTATGTAATCCTTTTAGAGAGAGAGAGAGAGAGGGAGCGAGAGAGAGAGAGAGGTTAAATGTCCACTCCACACAAACTAGGTCATTTCTTGACCAACATATAGTTCATATATATTTCAATAATTGGCTTGCGAGTAAGGGTCTTTAACAATGGGAGGAAACTGGAGGACGTGGAGAAAACCCACGAGGCTGACAGACGATCCTAGTCATTGTCACGTACAACCAGGTAATCGACTAAACGTACAGCCAGTTGACTAAATGACAGACCTTATGAAACAGCGTGCATGCGAACCATTTGGCCATTCAACCTCCCCGGCATTGCTTTATAACTCCCAATAAGATTTGGATCCTAGATTCTAAGCCCAAATTATTGTTCCAATTAGCTATGGTGTCATGTACGAGGGTTGTACGTGACAAGGAGTAGGGTCGCCTGTCCAACCTCGTGGGTTTTCTCCGGGTCCTCCGGTTTCCTCCCACTGCTAAAGACCCCTATGCACAAGCGAATTATTGAAATAAAATTAAAAGCCATATGTTAGTCCCGAAATGACCTAGTTTGTGTCGAGTGGACGTTAAACCCCATTTCTCTCTCTCTCTCTCTCTCTCTCTCTCTCTCTCATGTACGAGGCCAGGTGGGTTTTTGTTTTATAGAACAAATGACACCATTTCTCATTTATTTGGGATATTTTTGGTATAAAAATATTTATCTCACCTTTCAAATATAGAATTAAATGCTACAACAGCGTTATCTCGTTGTATTGCTAATACTATACAAGGCCCCATCAACAGTACAGGAACCTGAAGACAAAACAAACATGTAGATGAACATTTTGTATACCTTTCTAGCTATTTCAACTTAGATACATACAGACAGATCAGGAAATAATCATTTTACGTCCCACTATTCTCGATATAAGAGTAGGCCATAGCACCGCTAGCTGGGCAAAGATTACCCTCATAGCACACTGTATGGCGTATGCCCGTCTTCATTAGCCCAGTCGGAGCAGAACAGTAGGACGTTAAACCCCATTTCATTGTGTTTCATTTCCCACTGTTCTGCACCAACCGGGATAATGAAGATAGACATACGCCATAGTGTTGTATGAGGGAAATTTTGCCCCGACTGCGGAACTATTGCCTACACTCTTATATTGAATTCCAATTGTCAAGGGATCTTTTACGTGCACATCCCATGCAAATGACTATACATTGTCCCTTGCCTGGCCCTCCGTCCCTTCACCACTGACAAAATGAAATGAAATGGGCTCTTAATGTTGTACTGTTCTGCACCAAATGGGCTCTGCACCAAATGGGCTCTGCAGACGGCCATCTGCGATACAGGATCAATCACAGGACTGAACCACCACAAAAAACCTGACAAAACGACATTCTTAACTTCGTGCTGAACATTTATTAAAAATATCAACAAAAAAACAGAAAATTACACAAATCTGTGACTGACAAAATGATCATATTCCTCACAGTGTTTCGTCTGATTTGAAAGCAAACTTCTGTTCCAAATTTTGACTGGTCAATAGTCCGATTAACAACCAATACCTACCTGCGTAACAATGTCATTTGGGTTTAAACAGAGCTCCAGATATGTTTACTTAACGTTACGTCAACCGGTGCATAGCAGAATATTGCAGAAAAGATAACTGTGTGACAAATCAGGTTATAAAAATGGCTACAATGTAAACAATACTGTCCCTCATCCAGTTACTAAATGCCGCTTAAACAATTTTAGGGAAGACCCAGCTTAAATTAGGGGCTGTCAAGTTGCTGTACTTAGGTGAGATGTGATTGAACGGGAAGAATAGACACACTCCCTCAAAAGCTCAAGTATCAGAAGCCAATCCAGCAATGGCCAGAAAGGGACTTCTCGATCCATAGCTGAAGGAATAAGCTAAATCATAGGCACCAGAGAAATTTGTGCCTGACAATGTCTTTGACAGGTGGCGTATTTCCAGAATATTCAGCATTCTTGACACATTAAGTACATAGATAATATTTTAATTTGGACCTAACCTGTTTAAAACTACCAGCTTCAGTTAAACACAGAAATTGTTCAGCTTGTGTCTGACTTAGATTCACCATTCTAGCACCAACTATTTCAAATCTGTAATAAATAATTTCATTGGTTAATAAATTGAAATGTACTATGAGGGAAATTTTGGCCCGGACAGCAGCCCTACTCTTATTTCGAATTCCAACCATGCTAGGCCCTCTGTCCTACACCACTGACAAGGGGGGAACCATGCTGAAAAATGCTGATGAACTTTCTCCGCCAAAGCAGGGATTGAACACTGTACCTCCAGGTTAGCGTGCCAACAACCTACTCAGTGAGCCACCTTGTTTTTCTAGTTACAAAGACAGTGCAAATAATTGTGTTTAACTTTAGTTATAATAACAGTACGTATAGAGTACTATTCAATCTACTAAATACATGGAAGTTTTGTGAACCTATCGATTAAAAGTGGGTTATAAGCACATAACTTTTATGTACAATAAATAAAAGGTTGAATTGACAGTTAGATAAACTAATGACCCCTTCCATTGTTGAATTCTCAATGGATTTGTACGAATTGGAAAATCAATCAAGACAATGAAAAAAAAGGAGATTTCTGCAAATGAGCTGAATATTATGAACAGTTTCTACGTCTGTTTGTATTTACCCATTAGTTTGTAAGGATTCCATGACCTCTACATAACCATGACCTTTACTTCTAGGAGTCAAACCCAATAATGGTGGAGTCAGTAAGATACAATTGGTCTGAAGTAAAAGGGTGGCGTGAATACCTGAAAATATAAACCAATCAAGTTTGAGATTTTCAATCCATAGCCTTGTTCCGTTGCAAATCTAATTGGTCAATTGGAGAATATTATTTTGTATCAAAATGGTGTTTATTATAAAGCCAACAACTGTTTGTTTCGGGTGACGATTCCCCGGTTGTACATGACAAGTAGTAGGGTCGCCTGTCCAACCTCGTGGGTTTTCTCCGGTTTCCTCCCACTGCCAAAGACTCCTACGTGCAAGCTTACTATTGAAATAAAATTGAACCATGAGTTAGTCCCAAAATGACCTAGTTTGTGTGGAGTGGACTTTAAACTCCATTTCTCTCCCTCTCTGTACGTTTCAGAAACCTTTAAATTATTTAAGTTGCAATTAGTAACTGACTGAAAATATCACATGACACTGCTATATTTAATTCAGGTTACTTAGATGTTTATTTCTGGTGACATTTCATTCAGGGTTCTCTTGTTTTTATCAAGCAAAGAACATTTGATTGGAACTGTTTTGAAATGTCCCCTGAGTCGCCGATAAGAGACATTTGATTGGCAGAGAGAACTGGTCTGTCAACCATGTGATTGACTGTCTAATCAAGATACTATTACAACCTGTCTGTAAATGTTTTAATACACAATTAAAATAGCATCTTGTTTTAATCACAATGTATCTTTTGTGTGACTTGAATCTGGAAGGGGAATCTCAGAATCTTGTAATCTGTACCGGGAGAATCTCGTAATCTGTATGGGGGGGGGGGGGAAAGAGAGAGAGAGAGAGAGACAAACATATGGTTCAAGGGGAGAGAAAGAGAGCGAGAGAGAGAGAGAGAGAGAGAGAGAGAGAGATGGTGTGTTTGACGTCCTCACAACACAAACCAGGTCATTTCGGGACAAACATATGGTTCAATTTCATTTCAATAATTCACTTACACGTAGGGGTCTTTAGCAGTGGGAGGAAACCGGAGGACCCGGAGAAAACCACGAGGTTAGTCAGACAACCCTACTCCTTGTCATGTACCACTGGGGAATCAAAACTACACCAGTTGACTCAATGACAGACCTAATGATACAGCGCACACTCGCTAACCATTCAGCCGTCCACCCCGGTCATGAATAGAAGGAATTTAAGAGATGAATGTTTTGGTGTATAAAACCTACCAGCCATTGTAGAATCTTCATAATGTAAACTGCATCCATCATGATTGATAGAGATCTGTCGATTGTTATTGTAATCTACATCTATAATACTGTCTTCTATAACTTCCTCCTGTAGACAAGATTATCAACAAACACAATAAGTGAAATAAAATGGAATGGGGGTTTCCCCCTGTAGACAAGATTATCAAGAAACACAATAAATGAAGTTAAATGAAGTGGAATGGGGGTTTCCCCTGTAAACAAGAATGTCAAGAAACACAATAAATGAAATGAAATGGGGTTTAATGTCCTACTTTCACTGGTTTATAAATGTATAGCACAACGTTTCAACATGTGTTCTCTTATCGTCATCAAGCACATTTGTTGAAACGTCATGCTATTAGGGCTGGAACAATATATATCGTTGAATCGATGTATCTACATTAGTGAATCATGAGACGCTGAATCAAGTTTTCACGATTATTTCTTGTCACTTCAGTAATTATCCACGTCACACATTATCCATAGGTACACAAACACTCTTATTTTGGGTCCTTATTTTGTTTTGGTCCTTATTTCGATCCACATATATTATCAATTATTCATTTATCCTGTTGTTTTCTTGGTAAATATTAACCTGGGGCCTGTTTCACGAAATTTTAACTAAGATAAAATCCAAATTTTAGTAATTTGATTGGATTATATTAGATTGATTTTAGTGCTCAGCCAATCAAAATTGAAGTATCTATTTAAATTTGGATTTTATCTTTAGTTAAAATTTCGTGAAACAGGCCCCTGGTTATGAATCGTGTTACACATCGTATCGTAGTACCTGAATCGTAATACATATCATATCGTGACTGCAGTGGCCATACCTAGCACTATGTGCTATATGCGTATAGACCAGTGATTGTTTTCCATATAAATTGTGTTCTGGAATTTTCATCATTTCTGCACTAGTTTCCTTATTTTTGAAATAATTATAAAGATTTTCGTCTATAACACAGAATTTAAATTACACTATGATTTATATTCATATTATAAATACTGTACCTGCTGTGAATTATCTAATAACTGTGTGGATTGTTCAGGAAAGAATACCTCTAATTCTTTTACAGCTGTACAGTAATTTACAGAACCTGCATAGAATATCAAATTACAGGTGTAACTATGACTTACTAATCCAAACTACTCATGTTAAAATGCTATTACATTTCAAATGATTTAAATTTATCCTGATATTACATGTATATATGTCTTTGTATCTTAAGAGGGATTTATGGAAGATTGGTTTTTTTTGCAAACTAAATAAGTTGCCTCATTAAATAAAGTTTTAATTATTATTATTATTATTATACAACCATGGTCAAAGGGGAACAAAAATAGAATCAAATTCTAAAATCAGAGTTACCTCCCATTGATCTTCAAAATCACATATATTCCTACTAAAAAGACATTCCAACCTTGGCTTCAAACCGAACATTTTCTTGTTGTGAGTCCAGTTTCCTGAACACACAACTCCACTGTGGTCCCTAATTTTATAAAGAAATGTTTTACTCACCATATAAACCATTAGCCACGGGATCAGATCCAAATATTCCTCTCCACAAAAACTGACTTTTTCTTCTGGCTGCTTGAGGATCATCTGGGCCAATGACATCAACTAATTTCTTTACACTGTTTTCTCTCTCTAGACATATCAACACTGATGGTCCAGATGTGAGGTGGGACAGGTGTTTTTCTTGTACCCCTTCATCCTGCAAGTTAAATGACATGAAAAGATATGAGATGGAGTTTAACGTCCTACTGTTCTGCATCAACCAGGCTAATGAAGATGGGAATAAGCATGCTGTGTGTTATGAGGGAAATTGTGCCAGGACAGCAGCATTTCCACCTACTCTTTGTCAAATTCCAAATTTTATTTCAATAATTCGCATGTGTGTAGGGTTCTTTAGCAGTGGGAGGAAACTCATGAGGTTGGACTCTACTCCTTGTCATGTAAAAACGGGGAATCGAAACCATGCCACTCAACTCAATGACAGACCTTGTGATTTCATGAGCATGTGTTAAACCACAAGACCACCTAACTCCCTCTCCCCAAATGGGAAGGGATCTTTTATGTGCACAACATGTACAGAGACCCTCAGTTTTTTGTACCACCCAAATGTATAGACACTGTTCCTTGTCAGGCCCTCCGTCCTCACCACTTACAGGAGGGAAAGCAAGGGTAGAAAATCACAAGGTACTTTCTCTGCCAACACAAGGATCAAACCCTGGAACTCCTAGTTACTGAGTCAACCCCTTACTCACCGAGCCAATGTGCCTCCCATTCAGATTGTGTTCATTTCACTTATTTCAGGTGTGCATTAATGTTATCTTACCTCTATCTCAAGAGACTGGATAATCACATTTGCTTTCTGTTCGTCTAGAACATCCAGTTTTAATCCCACAACTCTAAAACCTTCTTGTCCAAATTTCTTGAGGAATTTTGTTAACGGGTGTTTCTTTACAGCTCCAGGTTTAATGAGTAGAAAAGTTTTGATTGGACAAGAACCAGACTTCATAATATCAAATATATTAACAGATATTCTAGGTTCCGGTTTATGGTCAGCACTAGATTTTTTAATGGATGAAAAACTGAAAGAGAAAGGGGAAAAACGATTTTTTCATGAAATGCAGTCCTTCATGTTTATAAAATTGTGCAGGAGCCATAAAAAGCTCCTGATTCCTTGAATATATGCAGTTTAAAAGTAAACAAAAACTGAAAGTAGTTTATTAATCTCAATATTTAGGAGAGCGATTTAGCTAATTTGCAGGAGTCATTAAAGGACAATATTGGTGCCAGTCATTATCACATGTTATAGAGCTGGTTAAACGCATTCCAAATATAATTTTATCTCAGAGATCATTGTTACAATAGCGGAGTAATACAGTTTTTCTGAATCGGAAGTGACGAACGCCAAAGGAAAACACGAGTCGCCTCTCTATATAACTGACTGATGTGATGAATGATAACGGATATACAGGCGAATTTCTGCTCACTAATAATTCCTTTGAAGACCAAAAGTTGTTGTGTGAGACTGTGAGAGGATATCTGACAATTCATAAAAATAATTGACTGTCAGTAGATATGTGAACACGAAAGAAAAACAGAAAAAGTCTGTGCATTACCATGTTTTTATAAGGCATAGAATGAATATAAACAAGAGAATGTACGGACTATATTCTATTTTTCTCGTGTTCTCTTATCTAATGACATTCAATTACTTTATTGAATTGTCAGGTGTCCTCTAACTGTCCCATAGAACAACTTTTGGTCTCCGAAGGAATTATTAGTGAGCAGAAATTCGCCCGTATATCCGTTATCATTCGTCACATCAGTCAGTTATATAGAGAGGTGACCCGTGTTTTCCTTTGGCGTTCGTCACTTCCGATTCAGAAAAACTGTATTACTCCGCTATTGTAACAATGATCTCTGAGATAAAATTATATTTGGAATGTGTTTAACCAGCTCTATCACATATGTGATAATGACTGGCACCAATATTGTCCTTTAATGACTCCTTCAAAGGAAAGCCGACGTGCTTCGAGAGGAGCAGGAGCGAAAGCTCCCCTTAAACGTGAAGGACTGGAAAGGCCTTTCCTTCCCTATGCTTTTTTAAACCGCGAGTAATTTTCACTATATTATCGAGATGGTTGACTGAATACAATATCCAGCTAAATGAACATGCAATGAAACAGGGTTTAACGTCCTACTTTTCTCCACCAACTGGGATAATGAAGATGGGCATTATGTATGTTATTAAGTGTGGTTTGAGGGGAATTTTACCCAGACAGGAATGTTTCCTGTTTCCAACTGTCAGGGGATCGTTAACATGTTGCCAATAGTATAATCAAGACCTTTTTTTTTTTTTTTTTATCCCATCAGAGCAACTAGACACTTTTCCTTGTCAGCCCCTATACCTCGAACCTTTGACAAGAGGAAGATAGATGATAAAATCCTAAGCAACTGTCTTGACTAACCCAGCAAGCTCAACACACACCGAACAACCGTAGCTTCCCACTTCCAGGATAAATAAGAGAAGGAGAAGGAGAGAGAGAAATGGGGTTTAATATACACTTGACACAAACTAGGTCATTTCGGGATTAACATATGGTTCCATTTTAATTCAATAAACTGCATGCATATAGGGATCTTTAGCAGTGGGAGGAAACCAGAGGACCCACAGAAAACCCACAAGGTTGGACAGACGACCTTACTCCTTGTCATGTACAAGCGGGGAATCGAAACCATGCCACTTGACTCAATGACAGACCTTCTGATTAAACCATTTGCCCCCCCCCCCAGGATATATGAATGGAAGTACTTACTGTAATGATTCTGGTATATATGGTAACAAAGGTCGTGAGAGGTTATCGATATATAGTTCATGTTTCGAGAAGAATAAACGGGCGAAGGTATACGCCTCCTCGGCTGTATGTGACATGAGTTTATGTAGTGGTGTTTTATTGGGTTGATTTAACACACCAGGGGGCACCATACTCTCTAACTGTATAAATGCTCCAACACCTCGTAAAGCTAACACAAATGCTGGTTCTAAAAATATAAAGGCACAGAAGATTAAGTATATTAAAAAGTGTGGTCAACAAAATATTTGTTGTCACAGGAATAAAAAGAGAGAAATGGGGGTTAACGTCCACTCGACACCAACTAGGTCATTTCAAGACTAACATATCGTTCAATTTTATTTCAATAATTCACTTGCTCGTAGGGGTCTTTAGCAGTGGGAGGAAACCGGAGGACCCGGAGAAAACCCACGACAACAACCCTGCTCCTTGTCACATACAACCAGGGAATCGAAACCACTCCAGCTGTCTCAATAGTAAGTGCAGGAGGACTGCACTACAGGTAAACAAAAATTTACAAGATAAACCTGCAGATAAGACCGAAACCCTCCCTCACAGGAATAAAATCTGCATACCATAAGATTTAGCAAACTCTGAATACTATAATACTGCAACATTTGTGATAATATATCCATTCCTCTCACCTGAAGTTAGTCTGTGAATACTGTCCTTCCATAATTTATCTCCTACTTCTATCGGTGTAACTTCTTTGGCTTGAGAAGTAGTTAAATAAGGCAGCCATTTCAAACCTAATAATTCCATGCCTTGTGTGAGGGGAGATATAACAGGTGTTCTACTGTAAGGTGTAACATTTAATAATTGACCTAGAAAAAAAAAAAAAAAAAAAACCCCATCAGATATGAACATTTGGAAATGACATGGGGCATTGTATAATCCATATGGATTCTCAAAAAAAATGCATACAACTCATCAAATAACGAATGTGTATCGAAATAAGAGGTGACACATTAATACATAGACACTGTTCTTTGCAAGCTCCCTGTGCTGCACCATTGACAAGATGAAAACCAGTCTGGAAAATCTATGTGCAGCTTTCCAGGGCAACATCGGGATCGGATCGAGGGACCTCCTTGTTTGTGTGCTAGTACATTATTCAGCAAGTCACCATTGCTTTGCTATTCAAAATATAACTTACCAATAAATAGGCCACATGATTTCTGTATATTATAGCTATGTAATATAACTTACCAATAAATAGACCACATGATTTTTGTATATTATAGCCATGTAATACAACTTACCAATAAATAGACCACATGATTTTTGTATATTATAGCCATGTAATACAACTTACCAATAAATAGGCCACATGATTTTTGTATATTATAGCCGTGTAATATAACTATAACTATCTGTTCTAGTTCATGATTTGTATAAAACGTAGGCTGGATATAACTTGGTCCACATTGTGTATCATAATCAGGAGACTGGAAAATACAAGTAAGTTATGAAACTATTATTATGTCATTAAATTATTACCAAACACAAGAAATGTTTTAAACTATAATTGTGCTGTCAAATTATTACCAAGCTCAACAAATGTTTTAGGTTATTTGTAATTTGCAAAAAAAACCATAAGATATGGGGCATTATTTAATCCATATGGAATCGAAAAAAAAAATTAAATAAAGTTGAAATGTATATTTACCCTGGTAAAATCTCCACCCAGACTAGACAAAATATCATCTGTGAATGTAGCAGCGTAAAATAGCTGTTTAGATCCAATACTTTTACTGTATTCTTCTTGGATGTCGACTGTAAAACAGTAAGAAGAGTAAAGAATAATAAAAGAGAGACGCAGGGAGAAATAGGTTTAACGTCCACTCGACATAAACTAGGTCATTTCGGAACTAACATATTGTTCAATTTTATTTCAATAATTCGCTTGAGTGTAGGGGCCTTTAGCAGTGGGAGGAAACCGGAGGACTTGGAGAAAACCGACAAGGTTGAAAAGGCAGCCCGTCCTTGTCACGTACACCCGGGGAATCGAAACCACGACAGTTGACTCAATGATACAGCATGCACGTGCTATGCATTCGGCGATGGTAAAAGATAATTGTTCAAATGGTATTGTCAACCAAATACCTTGGTTATTTTCAGTTAATACCATGATAATATTAATGACTATGGTTACACATGGATTGCAAGGAAGGCGATTTTTGCCCCACATGTGACATTTCGACCTACTCTTGTTGGATTTCAAACTGTCCAGAGTTACTTTTATATGACCACCAGTTTGTACACGAAAGCTTTTCTCAACCCATGCTAGTATTATGAAACCAGACTTGTATTAGTATACACATCCCATTAGCTAAATCAACACAACATCAATTTAATTATTAACACCAGTCTAAATGGAGCCGCAGTGACTCAGTGAGTATGATGCTGGCTTGTTAACCAGGAGGTTTCCGGTTCGCTCCATGTGTTGAGCGAGAAACGTCTACTGACTTTGCGGCGCAGTGTGCCCTTGTCAGTTGTGCAGGACGGAGGGCCTGTCAAGGACAGTATATTTATCTACTCATATGAATGGGACAAAAAAACATGGTGCCATGTACACAATAGCATGTTTGTAAAGGAACCCTTTACTAAGACTAGAGTAGGCAGTAGCACCACTGTTCTGCAAAATTTTCGTCTCAGCACATCGTATGGCATATGCTCATCTTCATTAGCCCAGTCTGTGCAGAAAAGTAGGACATCTATCCCCATTTCATTTCATTTATTGTGTTTCTTGATATTCTTTTCTACAGGAGAAAACCCCCATTCCACTTTCATTTCACCAATTATCTAAATGTTTTGACACGTTTTCGTGTATTTGTTATTTATTAGACGATCCCTACAACTTGTTTAATCTTACCCATCAACCCTTTCAAGGTCAGTTGTACCATAAAAGCTTCGATAAGACTAGCTGCATTATGGGAAGCATTTTCTTTCTCCAGTAAAAATACAGTCGATGGATAATCTCTATTTAAGTCTTCGCCACAAAATAATGGACGGTCCTCCGAGTTAATACCTGAAAAAATATATAAACATGTGTCTGCTGTGTCATCGTCACAAATGGATGGATTGCTCTATGTGGAATTTCCGACATGGTTTCCCCTTGTCAGTCGTGCAGGACGGAGGGTCTGACAAGGACAGCTATCTAGTCATTCGGATGGGACGAAAAACCGAGGTCCTGTGTCTACATTGACATGCATGTAAAAGATGCCTTGGCAGTTGGAATTTGATGTAAGAGTAGGCCATAGTTCCGCTTCCCAGGCCAAATTTCCCTCATAGCACATTGTATGGCATATGCCCATCTTCATTAGCCCAGTCGAAGCAGAAAGGATGCTAAACCACTGTTTGTCGTGTATTTTGTACACGGTGAACAGTCCATATACTGATTACACTATTTTGCCTTATTACACTATTTTGCCTTATTACACTATTTTGCCTATACCGTTTTTTTTTTTTTAGGACTTCGAATTTTGTCTAATGGTTTGGATTGTTCCTTATTGGTTTTATTTTATTTCATTTCATTTCTATGTGGAATTGATTACATATCTTAGCCTATTTCTTTCTGTTGAGGTACAGGAATATCTTCTGGCTCATATTTACAAGATAGAAAGGTGCGATTTGTAAATCTTTACTCAAATTGACTGGTCATGGTTCAGTTACAAAGATGAACCGATTCACAAAATTACAAATTGATAACTGGTTTTCATAAGAGAGAGAGAGAGAGAAATGGGGTTTAACGTCCACTCGACACAAACTAGGTCATTTCGGGACTAACATATGGTTTAATTTTATCTTCATAATTCGCTTGCCCGTAGGGGTCTTTAGCAGTGGGAGGAAACTGGAGGCCCCGGAGAAAACCCACAAGGTTGGACAGGCGACCCTACTCCTTGCCACGTACAACCAGGGATTCGAAACCACGCCAGTCAACTTAATGACGGACTTTATGATACAGCGCGCACGCTAACCATTCAGCCATCCAACCCCCAGATTTTCATAAGATATCTGTCCTTCATCAAGGAATCTTTTACTATAAATCACAAACATACTTCATAATACACTTGTCATTTGTAAGAAATCACATAAAAATAACATCTATAAATTCCTGCTTCAACTTTAGTTTACATTACTAACACTCTGTAACCAATGGTCCCAAAACTTACTGCCTCCATAATCAGGTACCGACTGACTGACTTTTGCTTTAAGACTAGAATACAGAGTTCTATTACACTGTCCACAGAGAACTAAACAGTTTTATTCATTGATATATTTTACTCGCTGTTTAAATACTTTTTCTATAAAAAATGCCATTCATCAAGCAAAATCATGATATCATAATTGGCCACATGCGTACTTCCACTTACCTAAAACCTCTGCTCTTCTGTTTGATAATCTCATTCGTTTTACTCCACGAGTCTGATATCCGCGTCTCTGACAAGTAGCTAAAAGAATGCCCACGGCTTTAGGTGGAAACAGTGGCGACACCACTAAAAACAAATCACTTTTCGTTGTAGCCGTTAATGTGGCTAAAGGTCTTTGTGTGGGAATGTCATCATGATCTGGTTTTGTGTCGGAAAATGACACTTTTTTGCCCTTGCGACTTTTAGGGCTACCACTTCTAAAACGTTCTTTACGTTCATATGGCGTTCCTACATCAATACTGCCCCCTGGTGGGACCCGACCAGCAAACCAGCGGGTCATTTCACTGAGAACACGGGAAGAGTTTCTGGGACAAAACAAAAGGCTCTCATCTCTTGACAAACCTCCATATTGAGCACATAAAGAATTGGGGTCAGTTTTTCTGGCAAGAACGGGATCCGAAGGTCCCACGGCATCAAGCCAGATAGATCGTGCAAAAGTCCCACGTATTGCCAATGCCAGCACCGGTCCCACATTATTTAACAAGTCCAAATCTGATTTATTACCAGAACTTTCATCAGACGATAAATTTAACAGTTCCGCAGTCGGATAAAGCAGACGGACACCAGCCAGATCCAAACCTTCCTGTAAAATACGGATCATGATTCCCATCAATGATCCTGGATCACGATAAATCTTTTTATAAACTAACGACATCGTGTTCTGCGTCTCATAATCCACGGTTTCATCTTCCAGCATTCGGTCAAATATTTCTTCTTCTGTATCAATCGTCTGCCAATAAAAGCCGACGGCCATATTGAATATTCTATAAGCAGCTTGCGGGTCTGTGTGAACCTCAATAAATGACGCCAAGGGTTTGTCCGTGACATTAGGCAAGGGCGGACAATAACTATATGACTTAGAACTGGAGTTGTCTTCTCCTGGTCCATTTACTTCCATGGATACAAGGCCTTGTAACCAAGGACAGACTGTGTGTAGAGTGTTGCCAGTTAAGAAGTTGTGTATATACTGCATGAATGGATTTCCACCCTGAAAGATTAAAAATATAATACAATTAGATCATTAATTCACAGGTTCTTGACTGGTGTGAGACAAGAAGACTGTTTTATTCAACCCTGGTTAAGGGAGCCACGGTGGGTGAGACGCCGACTCGCTAGCCTGGAGGTTTCGGATTTGATCCCAGTGTTGGCCGAGAAAGTTCATCGGAATTTTCTGGGGTGGTTTCCCCCCTAGTCAGTGGTGCATAACGGAGGGCCTGACAAGGACAGCTGTCTAGTCATTTGGATGGGCAAAAACCAAGGTCCCTTGTACACATTGGCGTGCAGGTAAAGGATCCCTTGGTAGTTGGAATTTGATATAAGAGTAGGCTACAGTGTCGCTGTCCGGGCAAAATTTCCCCTTCTAGCACACTGTATGGCGTATGCCCATCTTCATTAGCCCAGTCGGAACAAAACGGTAGGATGTTACACCCCATTTCATTTCAGTTTATTTCATTTAAACCCTGGTTCTCTCTTGCTATGAGAACACAGATCAGACTAGAAGCCCTTGCACTACATGATCTGTCAATCCACCATGTTTTAACTGTGATATGTTCCCATGAATGAGCAGGGCAAATAAAAATGAATCAAATTAAACAGGGTTTAACATCCTACATTTCTGCACCAACTGGGCTAATGAAGATGAACATACACTACGCAATATGCTGAGGGAAATGTTGTCCGGACATACTTTTTTTTTGTACCACGTAAATGACTCATGAACAATCTGACATGGGTAAAGCAGGCTGGATAACCCCAAGGACATTTCTCGCCCAATACCAGGATCCTATCTAGGACCTCCTGG